CCAGTCTTCATTCAATAATGTTCCATTAAGAAATGAAAACGCCAGTGTAAAAATATTACATACCTTTTCACAAAAACTTTAGTCAAAATGCGGTTTTAATAGCTCTGGTTGAATAGTTCGGCTGGTAGGCAATGGGATTATTATGCGCAGTGCAGAGTTTATATGCAATAGCAGCAGTTGCTTGAAAAACACAGGTCCTATTTATACAAAGTTATCTGTATCTAGAATTATTGAAATGATCTGAGAGTTAGTTTCGATGATTTTTAAGAAAGCTCAATATACTGATTACATGAATATTCTGGGAGATTCTGGCGCTTTGTCATAATATAGTATATTATTCAGGACCATTAGTAGAGAAAGCTTGCATTAAGTCGTACCGCCTGAGAAAAAATAGGTATAAATCGTAGGATCTACGAAAAAAACAAAAATTATGTGTGATAATAATATCTTGTGTTGTCATTGCTGTGATATTTATTGCAACAAACTTCCATCCAGTCTACTCACTTACATGAAATTAATAAAATTTATGAACACGAACTTAATGCGAGTTAGACAACCAGTATTCTAAGTCGATCCACCTGTAACTTAACTCGTACTACGTTTAAATTTGCGCAAACAAAAAAAAAAAAAAAAAAAAAAAAAAAACTTTTTAAAATTAATTTATTTATACAATTAATAACAACAATGATCACAAAGATATTTTTTTTTATTTTCTTCTCAACTTCAGCTTAAATCGTGTACTCATCCTTTGCGTTTTAGGCCGTGAATCATATTATTTTCGCGGTCTTCCTCACAAATGTTACAGGAAAACGAATACGACGTGAAGCAATATGACTCACTATGGGGTAATTCGTTTTGAGGAAAGAGGCGCAGTTGACGTATGTTATACCTAATATTTAAAAAGTACGATTTAAGCGGTGGTATGACTTGCACAAACTTACCATAATAGACCATTACGAGGTGGTCATTCAAAAAGATGCCACTTAAATTGCGAATGAACTCTTCTATCGGGTGCTTGAAACTTTCCAAAGTTTTGAGCTAAAATGCTTCAAGATTTCTTAGAATAGGATTCAAATAATGAGAAAGGTTCAAGTAGATTCATGAGATCTGAGAATTCGAATATCCCTTCCTTAGCAAAATCAAAATGTAACTCACGATGTAGTTCGATTCTAATGAATTAATTAAAGTAATTAAGACTGGTCTTCTTATTATTTATGAGGAAGAAACTAAATCGTTCATTTTACACATAAACACAACTTAAACAGCTACTTTTTAAATAATTTTTCTTTTTCGAATATCAGTTTCTGTACAGCACGCGCTATTTCATGTCGTTCATACTTTATTCTTTTCAAAGCAGACGTACACTGCTCGACATCGAAACTGCAACACTAAGAAGGAGTGGTCAGAAATTTATGCAAATTTTAGAGTAGACGCACGTCACTGAGTTATGCGAATGATATGAAATGCACAGCTCTCCGACGCACGTGAAGTAAGATATAAGGGAAGGAACGTGCAGAATGGGCAGTATTCGTGTGGTTATTTCTGCCAGACGAATTATCGAAGAAAGTTGGTTTTTATCCCGGAGGATACGTGTAATAGGGGAGAATACCAGGCCGCCGTCAACGAAGGCACTTCCAGCAGATAGACGATTTTACGAGGGGTATGGTGATCGGACTGAGAAGGGCGAGTTGGTCCTTACGTCAAATCGCAGCTGATAACCACATGGATGCAAGCACGGTGCATCGGCTATGGCGAACATGGTTGGAACAAGAAAATGTGGGAAGAAGGAGGAGTGCAGGTGCAGGCAGAGTGACGTCGGCACGCGTGGATCGACGTGTCCGCCGACAAGCTGTGGCGGTCCCGCAAGTCATTTGTACCGCGATTCTGCAGCATGTGCAAGATACCCTGGATGTTCTCGTGTCTACCAGAACCCTTTCCCGTTGATTGGTTGAATGTGGCCTGCACTCACGGCGTCCGTTACGAAGACTGCCATTGACCCCACAGCATAGACGCCAACAGTTAGGATGGATGGACTGGAGCGATGTGCATGACAGAATGGCAAAAACTCGTGTTCTCAGATGAGTCACGCTTCTGTTTATCCAGTTACTGTTTAGCCACATAGTTGTGTGGCGTCGAAGTGGAGACAGATCTAATCCGGCAGTAACTGTGGAACGCCCCACCGCGCGACAACGTGGCATAATGGTTTGGGGCGCTATTGCCTACGATTCCAGATCACTTCTAGTTCGTATTTTGGGCACTATGATGGCCCAACGATACATGGATAATGTATGGTACTGCGGCCATGTACTGCGGCCCCTACCTTCATGGGCTGCCTAATGCAATTTTTCAGCAGGATAACGCCCGACCACACTGTGCTCGCATCTGCCAATATGCTCTGCAAGGTATACAGGTGCTTCCCTGGCCACCGTACTCTCCTGACCTGTCACCAATCGAACACGTGTGGGATGTGATTGGACGCCGTTTGCAAACTCTGCTCCTGCCTCGTTCAGAAGACGAACTGTGGCAAATGGTTGAAAGGGAGTGGAGAGCCATCCATCAGGACACCATCCGCACTCTTATTGACTCTATGCCTAGACGTGTTTCTTCGTGCATCGCTGTCCACGGTGGTCTACGTTGTGTATTTAATGTTGTAAATATATTATGTCACTATGCAATGACTGTATTCTATACTATGTCCCGTCGAATGCTATGCCATGTTATGTCTGTGCTGAGCTATGTTATGTCGCCATACAATGCTCTCCTGTCGTGTAGGTAATGCAACTCTAGGTATTTTATGTTGTAAACATGTTATGCTCTAGATGGAGCGGGTCCCGGACTATACCCGATTAGTCTTTGAAAGCCATCCGGGTGTCCGGTCCTGCTGTCACCTGTCACTTATCCTACTGAGCCGACGCAGTTCTCGCTCTGTATTCTGACTATCATTTTGAAATAAAGATCACTTATTGCTGCTTGCTGTCTCTGTCTTTTTTCCAAATTTCATCACTTTCTGACAACTCCTTCTTGGTGTTACATTTTCAATGCCGAGCAATGTATAAAATAAAAATAAAGAATTTCACAATTAAGTTTAAAAAGCACTCTTCACCTAGATTTCAACCAAAAAAAAAAAAAAAAAAAAAAAAAAAAAAAAAAGTGGTTTTAACATTGTTTTATTCGTAAAGACCATTAGGACCTTTTCAGTTTACTCCTGCTAAATCCAGTCAAAAAACAAACTTAGGGGGCAGGAAAGTAACAAATACTTAGTTATCTGTCTGAAAATAAAACTGCTCATATACATCATACAATAGTTTCAAATTTGCATTTCAAAGGAATAATATTTTCTAAACGCGTAGCAAAGGAAATAAGAATTATTTATTTACATTTATATTTAATCACATTAATTCGTAAAAAAGGTAAAATTCTGTTTAATTTATGTCAAAGCTCTCTTGTATACAGTCATGTAATCACTGTATACAAAATTATATTTAGAAAGACATTCTATATTGATTTGCAGTTGTTGGAAAAGCTATTTGCTGCTCTCGAAATTTTCTAAATTCCTTTATGCGACTCCTGCTGTTGTAAGTTTAGGCATACCAGTTATATAACATTTTCAGTTCAGCAAGATGTCTATTATGCAGTGCAATTTTTCCTCATTATGGACAGTGAGAATTCAGATAAGAATTTGAATCGCATTTATCCGGCCAACAAGCATTGTATTAAAAGCAAAGGATCACAGGACGGAGGTGTTGATAGAATATATATATATTTAAAATAAAGAAAGAAATTCAAACCCAATTTTTCACAAAAACTAAAAATTGAAATTCAAATGAACTTCATAAAATCCCATAAATATCGAATAAAAATATTTGAAAATGTAAAAATTAAGATAAATCATCACAAGAAAAACCCAGAAAGAATATGAAAGAAGAATCCAATCAACTTCGACATAATGTCGTCAGGAGAAGGTATGTCGAACTTAATTACAGTTCCCCTTCCAAAACAAAATTCTTGCTTTTCTGTATCCAGATTGCTGATAAATTTATTCACCTAACGGAGTGGAAATTTTTACGTGAATACCTAGGAGCTCTTACTCAAAAGTCGTAGACTAAAACAGCATTTCGAATAAATATTAGTACATTGCTTTAATTGAAAACGAATATACTAAAAGTATCAATTGGCTCCTTGTGAAAATTTAGGGAACCAGGTAAAAGTGCAATAAAGAGACTGGTTAAACTTCAAACTGCACATTGACAGATATTTAAACCAATTCTACTTCTCTGCCCATTGGAAATATCTGTCTCTAATCCTACTATCTTCTCAAAAATGGCTCCCGTTTTAGTGGGAGAGAAGTCTACCATACCAACTGAGAGACTGCATGTCCTGTACCAATGGCTACCAGAATGAGACGAGTAATTAAGATATACTAAAGGCTGGATTTGTGACTTTAATATTAATACCCACTTTCATATATTTTGCAAATGTTTGTTTAAATTATTGTGTATATGTAAAGTGTATGATTCATAATTCGATGTAAGCATGATTAGCATTTTAACTTCATCATTAAGTTAACCTTTCAGGGTAAAATTTCAACTACGAGGAAAGTCGTAGTCATAGTATAGTAGTAGTGCAGTAGTAGTATAGTAAAGTCGTAGTGTAAATAATATGAATTGATGGCCTCAGGAATGAGGAGAAAAAAAATTAAGTTTGGCTTAAATGAACAGAAAATACAATTATAGAATGTTTATTCGAAGAGAAAGAATTTATACAGGTTTATTTAAGCAGGAAAAGTTTATACAATTTATTCAGCAGAATAACATTTTCATGATTTGTGATAATTTTTAAAACAATCTTCCACGCAAAGTGCTGGCTTCTCTTCGCAGATTGGACAGGTAACGTATTTCGCGGCATTTTTTAACTTTGGTACAAATTCGGCGTGGCTTTGTCGAACGCAGTTATTTTTTGGTAGATGGAATACTCTGCAAAAAAATGAAACTCTTGCAATCTTTTTTTTTTTTTTTTTTTTTTTTTTTTTTTTTAAACTAGTCAAATTCTTCTCCAATCAAGGCGTCGACAAATGTTTCTCTAAATTTTATAAGTATTATTTTAAAAGACGTTGCTTTTTTGGAGAAGTTTGTGTACGAATGTTGTATATATATCTCTATAACAAGTGAAACAACCTTTTTAGGCCATCTAATAGTAGAAATGTGTCATACCTATTAAGAGTAGTTTCTTGAGAAGCATCGTGACCGTCTTCAGGTTCAAGAATCATCTCATCTTCAGGTTCAGAAATGACTTCAGCATCACTGTCTTCACTTGAATTCTGAGAAAGTATGATAATCGTTACCACTGTTTACTTTCGTTACCATTCTCGCTGACAATCTTGTTAAGTTCTGGATCACTTAGATTATTAGTGTAGTACTCAAATTCTTTTCCAATAAGTGGTCTTTTCTAATCCATATTGGAGCATTTAGAATTTGATTATAAAATAACACAAGAAAGAACAAAATGCGATGTTCTCGGCATTATATCCCTATTATTACTAACGAATTTATACATAGTTTCTGACTCAGTTCTAGCAAAGCGACAGATTAAAGTGTTTCTGCGGATTAATTATCTCGCAGTTGGCTTTCACGGGGAGATTTCTGTTACATATGCCAACTAACAGATCAAAATTGGCTTTCCAGACCGGAATCGTGAAAATTTCCATGTTGGTCAACGTGTTAACTTATTCATGAGTGAGTATAGTACGTGGAGCGTGAACGAGAGTATTAAAATCCTTGTTTACGTGAAACGTTTATTGAAATCCTTTTGGCAACCATCGTTTTTGGTTTACGTGAAACGTTTATTGAAATCGTTTTGGCTTTAGACCATCTAAAAAGTGCACCATCTAAAAAGATGGTGCACGGTCTAAAGCTTTCAAAATGGAAAAAAAAAAAAAAAACGAAACCTATTTTGTGATATATGCACAAATGGAAGCATCTAGATTACCATTTACGAAAGAAGCGCATACCCATGACATACTTGACATTATAAACACCAATAGTTGTGGTCCCACGAATGTCACATTTTTAGGTAGCGCAAAACACTTCCTAACATTCATCACTCTTGAACAAAATGCACTGATACTTGTTTTCGTTACATTAAAGAATTGCATGACAAAAAGAAAATTTACATTAAGTATGTGTCAACAGCAGAAATGCCCGCCAATATTTTAACGAAAAATCTTCGCAGGGACAAGCATTGGAAATATACGAATCTATTAGGTCTTGAAATTTAACTCGCATTTTTTTAATTCTCTTTTCAGATGGTCGAGGGAAGGTCTTGGGAAATTCGCATTCCCCTTGCAGCTGCGCAATGTTGAAGATATTAAAATACCAATGCTATATAATCTTGCGATGATTTTTTCTAGATTATTTCTCCATTTACGCAAATTATGATTGATGTTCCCACTTCTCAAAGTGCTAATGTCCCAAACGAGTTTCATATTTATTCTTACTTGAAAGTTTTAGTAAGTTCTTCATCTTGTTCTGCGTCACACAGCGATCTTAATTTCACTTGCAATTCGAAGAACTTGTCGTGATTCAACGAAGAGGCATGGAACAACAACAACGAAGAGGCATGGAACAATTTATATTCCAATAAGAAAGCGAAGACAGACAGAAAGCGAGACAGACTTTCGAAAATGAAAGAAAACCAATCAAAAGAATGAATCAATAACAAATAACGATACAGTGTCAGAAAACTTATTTCCACAAATTTATTTGGAAGTCTTCTTCTTCAATATGTTTTGCGAGACGCAAATGGGCCAGCAAATTTTGCGAAGAGAAAAGTAGTTAACACTTTTATCATTGAAAAAATATTGCTTCATATATAGAAATGCACAGAAGCTGGGGCAAGTCAGAAGACGTAAAATCCAAACTCGAGCTTGTTACTCTATGAGCTAGATGAATTTATTGCTCTATCATATGCTCGTTGCGGTTTGGTTTCCAAAAGCTGTTTTGAGTTTATGGTCCAAATACTGAGGTTCAAAATTCTTTATTGAAACTATGATCCCTACAAAGATAAGGTGTTGATTTCTTCAATATAGTCTACAAAAATTCCATAAATTCATCATAAAGTTTAAATTTTAGGCTAATCTGAAAGCAAATTACTTTGTAAATGGATATTCTTATTCGGGAAAAGACGAAAGCAGATCAGTTGAAGAAACGTGGGGATCATGCTGTTTATCCGTTGATCAAGTCTTTTTATAACTCCGGAAGAAACGTTACTACGAACAATTTCTTTACTTCTTGGAATTCAGTAAAATATTTGAGAAATTAAGGAATTGGCTATGTTGGCAAAGTCAATTGAGTAAAAAGGAGATCCCGTTATCCTTCAAAAATATGAAAGATCTATTCTAGTTAAATTGTTAAGCATGATAATACATCCCTCATGCCATAATTAGGAAAAAAAGAACAAAAATGTAATTCCCATGAGTTCATTTCATCAAACTCTGGAAGTTGCATCGAATGAGAGAAGAAAAAAACCCCGAGGTTATGAGATTTTGCAATGCAAAACAACCAAGTATTCAATAAATATTTTGGATAAAATGGCTTGAAAATATATCATCAAGTCTTCAAGTCAACGTTGACATGTAATTTTAAATTGATTAATCCGTGATAAATTCCTGAATCATCTATGAGGAGACTACAGGCTGTGCATACATTAAGTATTCGTGATTTTATTTTAGATGTGGCCTGAACAGCTGCGAAAAAAATTACATTTATTCAAAGAACCTCGTGTTCTCATGAGAAGTGCTCCCATATTCCTTCTGAAGATATGCGTAAAAAATGTCAAATTAATCAATGTAAGGGGGAAATGTTTATGCAAGGTGCAATAAATATTTGCATAAGTCTTGCATTGAGAGAATTACTTATAAAGTAATTTATATCATTAATAATATATATATATATATATATATATATATATATATATACCCGTATTTTATTTTTAATTTTCCCACAAAATTCCTTTCTTTATTTTGAACAGTTACGGTTATAAATTTTAAATCAGTCATTCAATATTTTCAGTCATTTATTAAATCTTAATAATACTCATTTTAGTGCTGTGTTAAGTGGTAACAATAGCACATAACACACAAAAAAAAGCAAATTCAAATAAAAATAATCTCGCGCAGTAACAGTATAAACCTAATAGTTCAACTTAGTTAAAATATAACTTAAGGTATCCGACCTCGTACAAAAGACGATTTTCGGACAAAATTTCGATTTTTACTTTATTACATTATCTTAAGGAATACATCTTTAGCTATCAAATACAAGTTTTTGCTTGTTGATATGTTAATTAGAACTGAAGTTATAAGCATTTTTCTGTAACGGAATAAACCGGAAGTTCCAATATTCTGGACCGGAAGTGAGCGTTTAAATAGACATACTTATTTATAAACTTTATTTATCATCAAGATTTTGCAAATTATAAACCATCGTACTAAGTTTAGATATTTTGTAATACATTTTAAGAATCTGGCGGTAGTTTTTTCCCTTAATTTCGTATTTAGTTTGGCGCAGAGGGTATTCGACGTTGAATGGATGTGTTACTGCTTTGTCGATTAGCGTTGACAGTCTTGATTTGAAGGCTATGTCACATTTTTGCATCATTTGCACAAACTAAACAAAATGGAAAGCAATCTTCAGCACAACATATAGTTCATAATATATATAGCGTAACATAATTATTCTGCAAATTATAAAGAAGCAGCTTCGGGTGTGGAAGCAGTTGGTGTTTATTCGCTTTTTGAATGATCTATTAAATTACGAAAGCTGAAGTACACGGAGTATTATGAGGATGGAGATTCTAAGGGGTTTTTAATTGTGAAAAATATATATGGTAAAGATTCGGTCAAGAAACCGGAATGCATTGGACATGTACAGAAAAGGGTTAGTAGTGTACTACGAAAAATAAAAAACTCCACTCCTGGATTGAAAGGGAAAGGTAAACTGATTGGTTCTTTTATTGATAAACTACAGAATTAGGGATTGCAATTAGAAGTAATGTTGGAAACTTAATTGAGATGCAGCAGGCTGTACTAGCTGCTTGTTCCATTGTAGCTCTTCTTCGAAGCCAATGCCCTCCTCAATCAACGAGTTGGTGCAACTACCAATGTGCGATTGCAGAAAAGAAAAAAATCAGCCAAAAACCTCTGGTATATCAACATATATTTTGAATTTAATTAAGCCTACGTATATGGAGTTGACTACATAAACAAGAGTTATTAAAAAAGTGCATACATGGCAAAACTCAAAATATCAAAGAACGCTTTAATGGCATTTTATTGCAAATTGTTCCTCGCGAACATTAATGTTTGGAGCAATCATTAAATAACATTAAATAACAAGTGTTGTTATTTAATGATGAATTCATAGGTTTGCTTGAAGCATTTTCAAGGTTAGCTGTGTGTTCTGAATTTTACACTGAGCAGGGAATTCTAAAACTTGATAAAGTGCAAAATCATGACTCTTGGCGCCATTCCGCAAGTTTTACAAAAACCCAACGAAAAAAATTACGCTTTGTTCGAAAGAAAAAGCGCAATGTTTGTGAAAATACAAACAAGGTGTCAATTAAAAAAAAGGGGGATTTTAATTATCAGGGATGCATTTTTAACTAAGAAATTGTTTTAGGAAAACTTTAAACTTGTTTTCTGAAAAATGTGTTTTTCAGTAAATACTGCCAATGGCCATAACTCACAATTTTATGAATAAAACTAAATGATACTTTCTATGCATGTTTCATATAATCTGATGCATGCTCTGAAGCAGAAGATTTTAGAAATATTAATTAGAAGTTGAATTGTTACTTTTTATTCTTAGATTTTGGAGGCAATAATAGGAAAATATGCAGTTAATACTATATATTTTGACATATCTCAAGAACATATGAATATTTCTTAATTATTTTGCTTCATTGCATACAAAATAAGTGTAAACATAAATACAAATTAAAAAAACTGTATATTTATGTATACATTGTTCATCGTGGTTGTTGCCGTAATGACAAAATTTAAGCAAAAATTATCCTTTTTTTCATTATTTTTCAAAATTAAAATTACTTAGCATTACTTTTTAAGCTGTTTTCACTCATTAGTATGCTTATCTTCAAATTAATACGTATATAGTTAAAATAAAAACTATTTCTTAAAAAATGTTACCCGAACGAGGTCGGATACTTTAATTTTCCTTCAAATATGAAGCTGTATATTTCAAGCAATATCCATATAAACATTCCATATTAAATCAGTTAAAGCACAATTGTAACCTACTTATAGAAAAAGGAGTAGCCAATAATTTGTCATAAAAAGGCGTATCTAAGTAAACATCTTGATTTGTGCAGTATCTTCTAGGTACTAGAATTTTTTCAATTAACTAGAATGCAGTCAAAATAACCGCACACAGTAGCTATACATAAACAGAAAATGACGTAATACTAATGTTATCCATCTATAGAATTTCACTTTGTGATGTATATTTAAAATAACTTTAACTTTAATGGCGCTCATGCTATGCGATTCCGTTGTTGTGATGCACGTGTTACTGTGCTAGCTGAATGTCATGTGAACTGTTTAAAAATTGTAATAATAAAAGTTTTGAATTCTTGAGATATACTCATTAGTTGAGTCTTCGGTAAAAGCGCAGAATAGGCTGCATCAACAAAGTTCAGTAGGAGGAGCTGCGTGACGTCATTAAATGGGTGGGACTAAGCTTATGATGTCACAATGATGGACCTTATAAGAAATAGACTAACCCAGTGGGCGGGGAGTGCGTCACCGACATGTCGGCAAGAAAGAGTAGGGACGATCTGGTTTACTTTAACATTGAAACCTATGGCGTTTGTATCACATAACTCTTTTTAATTATTAAATGTGATACGTTGTATAGTGATGAGATTATGAAAGCCACAGTTTTTTTTCAAATAGGATTTAATATATCTCATTAAAGCACTTTTTACTGCATTTCCCGCATTTTTTTCCCGCGTAATTCTTGTACAAACATCTTTACTTTGGTAAAACGGTAAAAATTCTAAGCACAAAATTTATGAACTTAATTTTGCGTAAAAATAAAGTAAAATTAAATAAGATTGATAGTACGTGAAGCTTTGAAATAAGTAAGTAAAATTAAACAAGATCTGATAATTTTTTTTAAAAAAATTTAATGAAAATTTTCAGGCAGTGATTTTCCAAAACTAATAATAACATTACAAAACGATCATATTTATTTGATTATATGATCATTAAATTATTAACATTAAAGTGGATTAGTTATTTTAATAATTCCTAAAATTCGGAGCATAAACTTTTCTAAGCGTAATGAAGGGGGAAAAAGTTAAAATAAAATTTAAAAGCACTCAAATTTTATATTAAGCCCAAAAGGAACCTTTTTTTAAAGTTTTGTGTGTTACCTATATTTATTGAATATCAAGTTCCGAAAGGAGACATTTGAAAACAGCATATCCTTAGAATTTCCTCATTGGAGATAAAACTGTTATTTTCCGTACAGTGCTCGCTCTGAACTCGTTGAGTTTGTTAATCAAAAATTCGTTAAAGGTTTACAAAATATGAAATAGATTAAAATAAATTCGAAATTCGGCCGTCCAGATGCCCATGTTCGGTTGGAGAATTACATTATTCAAAATTTGATGGCTCTAGATACTGTCGTTTTTGTCACAGTGCAAGAAACATACATGTATTCATCCAGATTTCTTCATTATTTAATTTCTTTACATATAATTCAAGGCGATAATATTTGGTAGCAACAATTTGAAAGGAGACACGGACACTTATAGTAAAACAACGCAAAATGCAGCTTCGAAACTAACAGCCTTTCTAGGCGACCACCGCTTTGGGTTAATAAATTAAATTAACAGTAAATAAAAAAATCTTATGAAGAACTAAAAATAAATTAAAAAAATAGTCACTATAAAATACAAGCAAAATTAATTATTACGGTTAAATACAATTTTAATATTAGAATTAAATGTATAAAAATTTTTAAGGCATCAAAAGTGTTTATCACTATGATGTATTATGAAAGATAATTGAAATAAAATTCCTTTATAGAAATTGTGCTATAATACTCATCTATAATTTTAAAAAAGCAGCACAATTTAGAATTTTAAACAAAACTTTCAAAAATTCGTTTTTAAATATTTTAGTACTTTTTACTTATTTACACCAATAAAAAGCATAAAAATTGCAAGAGAAAATTGCTTGTTTGAAATTTTCTATTAGTTCAGATTTAAAATATTATTTTCTAAAAGAAGTAGTTACAAATTTCCTTACAGCATAGGAAAAGCTAAAAAAATATCCAGCCCTGAAAGCATGCAATAGCTTTATAATTATTTGAAACGTTAATTATGCTTGATAAATATGCTAAAATTTTAAAAATCAATCTCAATTTCAAAAATAAAAATATATAGAAATTCTAATTTGTGAAATGAGGCACTACATACAGCTTTTTCTTGATAATTATACACGCTGCAGTAGGCAACCAATGTTAAATTTCTGCAGGTCATCCCTACTCCTCCGGATGTGATCAAGGTGACAGCCGACAACGCCTCAGACGAGGGAGAAAACCCATTTGGGTTAGTCTATTTCTTATAAGGTCCATGGTAGTCTCGCATTTACGCTAGGCGTACTTTCTATTTTCTCTTAAAAATAACAATAATAAATTGTTTATTATTGTAAATTAATATCAAATTCTTTACTTTTAATTTACATTTATAACATTTAAGCTTAGGCGTTACTCATAATAAGTATAATAAATTGTTTATATTTAAAAATTACCATAAATTGTTTATTTAAAATACCATGATACAGTGAGCGAATTCTACCAATTATTAAAACGATAAACAACGTCGCAGTCTCTAATAGTTGTAGAGCTTCAATATTTTCAAAGATTTTTATTAAATTATTATTATTTTTTTATTAATTTTTTTATTTATACAAAATAAACTTTATTTTTTTTAATTGCTACGTAACGACATAATTCCTTACATACCAATAATTAGACAATTTTCATTATTTCTAAAAATTTTAAACTTTACATTAATAAAAAAAGAAGAATATTTTTATTGCATATGAACATCATTACACAGCTTTCATATCAGTTTCTAAAATTCCTAAATCACGTCATATTCTGTGTAGGCATGCTAGAATTCTACGCATTAATAAATAAAAAAATCTAATTTCTCAGAATGAAAGAAAATAATATAATAAAATAAATACTACAAACTTGGAACACTAAGCATTGCTTCACATACGCACACACACACATATTATCAATGAACTCATATTATCAAGTGCAATTACGATACCAAACACTACGTATTAATTAAAATATGAGGTAAACGTTACTTCAAGGGTTAAAGTTTACAGTTTTGCTACTGTTGAGTCGATCGTCGAACTATCCATATATATCGTAAGTCGGAAAGCGTTATAAATATATCAAAAAACAAAAAATTAAAAATACAATTTAAATGAAAAATTATGTCTTAAATATAATTCACAATTAAAACAACAATACAAATTTAAAATACACAAACGATATGTTAAACATTGCACATAAATAAAGTTACATTACTCCTCGACATCACGCACAACCTCGTTTTCCCTTTTACACGACGATTAGTATTCGCTCGAAAAACATCAAAGAATTCCACAAACTCGGTGTCCATGTGCTAATTTATCTATTTTCACTTAAAGAAAAATAAGAGAATTGCTCAAACTCGGCATTGCGCACCACATTGGCTTCGCCCATGGGCACATCGATCTATTTTCACTTAAAAAAAACATCCCAGAATTGCACAAACTCGGCATTGCGCACCACATTGGCTTTGCCCATGTGCACATCGACTATTTTCACTTAAAAAAAATATCAGAATTGCACAAACTCGGCATCGCGCACAAACTCGGCATTGCGCACCACATTGGCTTTGCCCATGGGCACATCGATCTATTTTCACTTAAAAAAACATCCCAGAATTGCACAAACTCGGCATTGCGCACCACATTGGCTTTGCCCATGTGCACATTAATCTATTTTCACTTAAAAAACATCCCAGAGTTGCACAAACTCGGCATTGCGCACAACATTGGCTTTGCCCATTTGCACATCGACCTATTTTCACTTAAAAATACATCCCAGATTGCACAAACTCGGCATTGCGCACCACATTGGCTTTGCCCATGTGCACATTAATCTATTTTCACTTAAAAAACATCCCAGAGTTGCACAAACTCGGTATTGCGCGCAACATTGGCTTTGCCCATTTGCACATCGACCTATTTTCACTTAAAAAAAACATCTCAGAATTGCACAAACTCGGCATTGCGCACCACATTGTCTTTACCCATGTGCACATCGACCTATTTTCACTTAAAAAAACATCCCAGAATTGCACAAACTCGGCATCGCGCACAAACTCCCCATTGCGCACTACATTGGCTTTGTCCATGTGCACATCGATCTATTTTCACTTAAAAAAATCAGACATTAAATAAATTCTCCATTGCTCATATACTCAGAAATTTGCTTTCACTTAAAGAAATCAGAGAATTGCAGAAACTCGCGCGTGAACCAACTCCATTGATTCGAGTTGCAAAAAATGTGTCCAGAAAAAATGATACAAAACAAAAAATAAAGCTGCCAGAATAAAGCAACTACCAAACATCCAAACTGCCATATTAGAAAAGCACCCAATATTTTACTTAAGTCAATAATAATAAATGAAACTTACCTTCAGTCCTCTTCTTTTGCAGAATATATGGCTGTGATCTCACTGAGAAATGTACGCATCAGTTGGCTGGCGTCGGATTTCTTGTGTTTCCTTCTCCAAATATATTCCGCAAGATAGGAATCAAACTGTCCTTTTGCCTTACTAGAGTCACGGAAACTTCTTTTGATTGCCGCCCAAGTTCCTTTCAATACTATTGGTATGCGCACCTGTTTCTGGATCTTTAAAACTCAAGCTATGATTGACTTTCAAGTGCGCATACCCTTCGAACTCGAGACAGTCGTACGCTTTCCAACAATCGGATATAATAATCGATCCTGGTAGAACATTCTCTTTAATGATTTCTAGCAATGTTTCGGCACCTCTGTTTTCAACAACTCTAAAGACGCATTTATCTGTTCCTCTCTCAACCAAACCAAAAAACCATTTTCCTTCGACTCTTTTCCCTCTATGATACTTTTGCTTGCCAAACTTGCTTTCGTCGATTTCGACAATGACACCTTCCCCACCCAACTTAACATTCTCCTTCAAACATAACTCCATGCATACTTCTCTACAAAAACTTTTCCAATCTGTCACCGTATTTTTAGCAATACGTAATTCCGTTCGTATAAAATCATTCCCGCACTTACCCAACCACATATAGGTAAC